GATTTTGAAATTTAAAAGAATGCTGAAAGTGTCAGGGTCGTATTCCTTCACCATACTTATTCAGTCTGCATGCTGAGCAAATAATCCGGGAAGCTGGACTATCTGAAGAACATGACATCTGGATTGGAGAAAGACTCATTTAATGGCCTGTGATATGAAGACGACACTACTTTACTTGCTGAAAGTGAGGATGACTTGAAGCACTTACTGATGAAGATCGAAGACTACAGCCTTCAGTACGGATTATACCTCAACATAAGGAAACAAATCCTCACAACTGGACCAATAAGTAACATCACGATAAATGGAGAAAAGAAGCTGTCAAAGATTTCATCTTACTTGGATCCACAGTCAACGTCCATGGAAGCAGCGGTCAGGACATCAGACGACGTATTGCCCGGGCAAATGTGCTGCCAGAGATCTCTGTAGAGACCCAGCCTAGACACCCCCAGGGGTGGCTGTACTTTGTCATACGGGGCTGCTGTGACTTGGGACTGACTCCTCAGCATCTGACAGCAGCCACCATGTCCTAGGACATCAGACATCAGATGGTTAGGGGAGGGCTGTCTCAGCTCCCAACCCAGGGCTTCTCACCCATGGTGACAGTTTCAGACACCGGGCAATGTCTGGGGACATCTGTGGGTGTCACGACTGAGGGGTGCTACTGGCGTCAAGTGGGTGGAGGCCGGGGCTGCTGCTCAAACCCCTACAGTGCCCAGGACGACCTGCCTAAGAAGCCTGAGGTTTCAGGGCCCTCCCCCTTGCTACCTCTCTTCATAAAGTGGGAGTATGCGGCCATGGCACCTCTGGTGTTTATTTTGGGGCTGAATGGATTCATACATGAGACCTTGTGCCACAGACCACTATATCGTAATTGTTCCAGTTTTGTGGATTCTGCAAGTGACCAAGGTAAGGTAAGGCCACGCCTGTCCCAGACTGGTCTGACCGAAGCCTCCAGGGCTTGTCTCCACACCCCTTGACACACACACACACACACACACACACACACACACACACACACGTGCATGAGTTCACATCCACCTGTGAGCTCGGTCCCGCCACCCTGGCCTCATTTCTGTCCCTCAGAGGCAGGCCTGGTCATGCCTCAGGGCCTTTGCACATGTGGTCTTTCCTGCCTGGAAAGCCCATTCCCTGTCTTTGCTCCCATTCTCCCTGCTCTAAGCTCAACCCCTCCTGCACAGTGGAGCCCCTCCTTCCCTGGAGGACATGCACGTAGCTCCCACACTCATGGGTCCACCTCCACCCCCAACACCCCTTCCCCAGGGTGCATGACTTCCCCATCTTCCTGGAGGCCACGTGTCCGTCACCTGCCCAACCCAAGGGAGTGCACCACGGGAAGCATCTTGGGGTGAGCCTCCTGGGCTGGGGGAGGGGGTCCTGGGCAGGGAGGGGCTCTAGGGCCTTAGGTGCGACATCAACAAGAATCTTGTCTTTCCCAGTGTTGGCAACATTTTCACCTTTTCCGTTCCAACACTGTGACCCCAAAGAAGACCAAGGGCTGGATTTGGCCCCTGGACGGCCCGTTCGCGACCTCTGACTCAAGAAACAGTGAAGGGGATTCCCCAGGTTCTCAGCACCCCCAGATCAAACGCCAGCGAGCAAGAAGGGCATCGCACTGAGAGAGGTCCTGGGGTGCTGGATCCATTGACCTCGAGTCACCGGCCAGAGCGGACTCAAGGCCAACGTGCGGCCGCAGGCAGGCCCGCTCCAGCCTCCCACCGTCCCCTGTCCTGGCTCTGGCCCCACCTAGCCTGGACTGGTCTTGCCCAGAGGCTGCGTCGCAGGAGAGAAAAACCCCCCGGGCCCCTCCTGCTGCGGCTCACACCGCTAACCCAGGGCCTGATTTCCTGCCAGTCCGAAGGGAAGACGGGCGACCTCAGGGGACTCAGCTGTGTCTCAGCCTCCACAGGGCCTAGGGGGCCACTGGGAGTCGGAGGCCGGAGGTCAGCCACCGCACCGCCCCCTCCCCAGGGAGGTACGGGGATGGCAGAAAGGCCCCTCTGGTAAACTGGATCGGCCAGGGTTCCATCTTTATGCCTCAGCTGAGGAGCCCAGGGAGGAGGCTGGGGGCCTGGGGGCCCACAGCATCTGGGGAGCACTTGGGGAGGGGTCCCGGTCCACCCCTCCCCAGCCCCCAGAGCCCAGCCTGCCGCCTCCCTGGGCCTCTGGTCGCTGGGCGCTTGTTAGATGTCTCCCAGGAGCGAAACCCAACCCCAGACCTGATTAGCAAAGGGCTAGAGGGGGAGGTGGCTGCGGCCTGAGAAAGGAGCTGGCTACTGCGAATGAATCCTGCCTCCCTTCTGCCGTCAGCAGGGCTGCCTTGGGGAAGGCCTGGAGTGCAAGGTGCCTTGGTGTGTCCCCAGGGACGAGCTAGGGCTGGAGGCCCATGCTAGGACGCCCACCAAGAGGAGGTGCTCAGTTCACGTGCAGAGGATGGAGACGGTAGGGACTGGACCCAGAGAAGTTGTGTTTGTCTCTGTGCCTCAGTTTCCCCACCCCGTCCTTCCCTACGCCCTCCCAGACTTGGATTTGGGGCAGGGGCGCGGTGCCAAGCTGCCACCAATGGGCCCTGGCCTCTGGGTGGTCCAGAGATGCCCCCAAGTGTGGCTTTTGTCCGACTTTGCCGACACAACTGGTCTGTCCTCATTCCGGGAACAGGGTTGGGGGCAGGGTGACCTCTGACCTCACACAGCCGCCTGGGCAAGCTGGGTCCCCAGGGAGGGGAGGGGAACACTTGCCTGGGCTAGGCCACGGCAGGAGGCCTACAACGGGGTGTGCTGGGCAGTGTCAGGCTCCAAGGCTGGGCCCTGCCTGCAGGTCCATTGTCAGCACCCCTCCTGGGGCTCCTGGCTGCAGGCCCGGTGCACAGTTGCTCCCCCACAACCCACACCTGCAGACCCAGGGTCCCCAGTTCCCACAGATTAGCAAAGGCAAGAGTCCCACTGCTCCTCACATGATCTCCCATAAGCCCCCAGGTAGAGAGGTGGGGAAACTGAGGCCTGGAACCGCACAGCAAGCTGCCACATGGTTCAGAAGTGGCAACAACTCCCCCAGAAGCCCCAGTTCAAGCCCTGAGCCTCAGCCCTCTCCTGGGAGCCACACTGCGTAAGGCAGCCATTCTCAGACTGGTTCCATAGACCATGGGGGGCCCACAAAGTAGCCTGGGCCAGGCAGACAGGGACAGGACACAGACCCACCAGAAACCTAAGAAAGATCTGATTTGGGGAGAAAGGGCGTTTGAAAAGTGTAAATTAGCATTCAAAGTGGTGCTCTTGGCCTCCTCACACTTTAAGGGTCCTGAGGGCTTCAGCAGAGCCTGGGAGTGAGAGTCAGAAACAGTTGGTTCTGGCTTTAATCTGACCAGGTGGTCCCTGCCTCAGCTTCTCTCCTTGCAAGCTGCCTAGACACCCTACTCTCCTCACCTTAAAAACGCCCCTTGGTTCTCTGTTCCTCCCTTCCTCAGGATAAAACCTGGCTTCTCCTGGGCCCACAAGGCTCAGCACAGCCCAGCTCCCCTCCCTCTGTGGCCCTCGCCTCAGGGCCTTTGCACAGGCTGTTTGTTCCACTGCCTGGTACTTTTCTCTCATCTTCAGGTTGTTAGCGCCCAGCCCAAGCGGACCTCCTCTGGGACGCCCCCTCCTGACCCTTGGTATGGAACGCCCCTGTGACACCCTCCACCCCCCATAACTGCTATGTCCCGGAGGCTCCCCTCAGCCTGAGGCCCTTCCCAGGCCTGCCTCCTGGCCGGTGGCTCACGCCTGCCATCTGATGGCCAACAGTGGAGCTGCGGGTCCCCCAGTCTGGATATCCCTTTCTTGTGGTTCCCTCACAGCGAGAAACGCTCCTCCTCTTTTCCCCACCGGTCCGCCTCATGGCGTGCAGGAAGCAGTCCCATCCCGCTCTGGGCCCCCTCCCACGCTCCAGTAAATGCCTCCAGCGGCCTGGAGGCTTGGGCCTCACACCTGCAATCCAGTCAGTTGGATACGGCTAGTGGGCCCAGGCCCAGGACAGCCAAGACTTCCAAGCCAGACATCTTGACTTTCGAGTGAATTCTCCCTTTTTGAAGGCTAGCAGTTAATTCCACACTTTAAAAACAGCGTATTTAGGCATGGCCTGGGGCCGGGCATCTGAGACGTGCAGGTTAAGCGGTGCTCAGACCGACCTCGGGGCTTGTTTAGAGGTTAGTTAAGTCGCAAAACCCTGGCAACTGCTCGCAGGAGACCCTGGACCTTGGTTTCTCCATCTATCTTTTTGGAAGGGGTTCGCCTTCTAGGGTGCCTAATCACTCCACGCGTCCCTGAATTCTCTACAGGTTGAGGGGTAAGCAGCCCTTGACAGGCAACCACACCTAAAGGAGTGTGCGCATGCGCAGGTCCTCCAGCCGCCTGGGGGCGAGCTAGCATACCTGCTTCTCTAGCCCGCGCGTCGCTGCCCTGCCCCCGCCGCCTCGCCGCTTCTTGCTGCTGGTGACGCACATCCGGGGAGGTAGCAGAGGCAAGATGGCGGCGCCCATGGAGGTGGCCGTGTGTACGGACTCGGCGGGCCAGCTGTGGAGCTGTGTCGTGTGGGAACTACACTCCGGCGCCAACCTACTCACGTACCGCGGCGGTCAGGCTGGGCCCCGCGGCCTGGCGATGCTCAATGGCGAATACCTTCTGGCAGCGCAGCTAGGCAAAAACTACATCAGCGCCTGGGAGCTGCAGCGCAAGGTTTGGCGGCGCGCGCTTAGGACCCAGCTCCATTGAGGCGGAGCACGCCACCGAGACTGGGGTGTGGAGAAGGGTTGGTGGGGATTGCACGCACCAGAACCGAGGTGCAGTTAGTAGACGGGGCGGGCGGGCGGGGGGGCCGCGGAATTAGCTTGGGTGCCGTGCGCATGCGCAGGTCTGGGGGCTTATTGGCACAGGATGGCGCGCGTCTGGGGGTGGGGAGCCGTTGAGACGCTTTGCGCGTGCGCAATGTGAGGGGTTTGGGGGCGGGAACACAAGGGGAGCTGGGGACGGTGATTCCTGGAGGAAGCTGCGGCTGCACACGAGCGTTGAGTGAGCAGTTCGATTCAAGAGATAACTTGAGTTGGAAGGGGAGCCCTGGAGCCCCTCCGCCATGTATCAGCCTTCGCGCACGCGCACACACCCCCAGACACCCCCCCACACACACACACACACACACAGACATGCACAAAATCCTTGCTGTGGAATTGACCCCTACACATGGTGACCCTATGGAGCTGTGGTAGTGCAGTGGTTAAAGCATTGGGTTGCTAACCACAAAGTTTGCTGTTGGAACCCACCAGCCACTCGGCAGGAGAGAGATGAGGCAGTCTGTTTCCATAAAGACTGACATTCGTGGGAATCTTAGGGGCAGTTTTGTTTTGTGGAGATCCACCGCATGGCAGTGGCTTTGGTTTGGGTTTTGCATGGAACCCGGTGTGTGTCAGAGTAGAACTGAACCATGTAGGGTTTTCAGTGGCTGGGTTTTCCAAGTAATTTATCAGGCCTTTCTGATGTGTGTCTGGGGTGGACTGAACAGCTAGCCTTTCAGTTAGCAGCTGAGTAGGTTTTTCGCACCACTCAGGCACTCTCCCTGGCCTTCCCCACTGGGCCCACGTTACCCCAAGATGCCAGCCTTGTCGGGCCTAAACAATCTCAGAGGTGTCCCCATTTCAGAAATGAGGAAACAGGCTCAGGGCACCTCTGATTTTAGGGAGGCAGGGTCAGGAGGAAGAGCAGCTGGCTGCTGGGCCCTCTCTGCCCTGCCCCCCGCCCCTCCAGGCACCTTTGGGTTGCCCACACCCCACTCCCTTGCAGCTCCTATCTAAGCAGCCGCAGCCCACCCCTGCAGGGTCCCGGGCGGCCTCGTACCTCCCCTCCTGGGCCAAGGGCCCGCTTCCACCTCCCTTCCCGTCCTCTTTCTGGAGTCCAGGTGTTCTCTGCCTGTGGGGTCCCACACCTGTGATGTACACTGAGCCTGTTGTGTCCCCAGGACCAGCTCCAGCAGAAGATCACGTGCCCTGGGCCCGTCACCTGTCTGACCACGTCGCCCGATGGCCTCTACGTCCTGGCTGGCATCGAGGAGAGCATCCACCTGTGGGAGGTGAGGGGGGCACTCGGGCTGGGCTCACGCGCCGGAGCTCGCGGGCTCTTGGTGCCGATGGTGCGGGAATCACAGGTGGGACCCGTACTGTGCCCAGCCTGACCCCATCCTCACCAGCTTCACACCCCGATCCCTGGGGCTGCCGAGAACCAGTGCAGCATGAGGGCTCTCTTTCAAGACAGAAGGGCCGCAAGACGCTGGGGCCTTGGTGGTCGCATTCCTGGGCTCCAAGACCCCAGTCTGTGGCCTTGAAGCTAGGATGGGGTCACTCACGCAGTGGGAGGGAAACCAGGGCACGAGGCACCTCATGGGCGCTCGTGTAAGAATGCAGAATGGGTGTGGGAAGAAGGATGGCGTGGGCGGGCCTCAGGTCACAGCCCCTCCCCCTTGCTGACCGACTGTCGCCGTTACCTGCTGGTTGGCACAGGTCCCCCAGCTTCCCAACCACCGGGAAGATTTCTGAGCAACGGAAGCTGTGACCACAAAGGGGCTCTCACACCAGCAGGAGGCCAGAGCACCATCGCCCTGACTGCAGATCTGCTGTTGGGGTGCCCCTCTCTCCATGGGGTCAGGGGGAACGGGGGGAGGCAAACACAGGAGGCTTGGCCCCGAGGCTGTGGACAGTGGGCTGAGGCTGATGACAGGAGTTTGTAAGAGGTCCAGTGTGGCCACAAAATCTGCTGCAGCCCACAGCTTGGTATGTGTGTGCACATATATGTGTGTTGCGTGTTCGTGCATGAGTGCTTATGTGTCAGGTCTCAGATCCCAGCCCTGCACTGGTTGGCAGCAGTAACATTCCACTGTTGGCCCGTAGCCCTAAGCCCCACTTGGAAACTGAGGGCCAGGACTACATGGCTGTCCTGGGGCTTGGAGGCCCGTCCCCCCATCCTGACCAGGGCAGCCTTGGCCATTCGCATCCAGCCCTGCTGGCCCCTCCCGCTGTGGCCTGGCTGGCAGCACCCTGGTGCTCTAGTGCAGCGGCCAGAGCTGCCCAAGGTGTCTCTAGCTGAGACCCGGCTGTGCTGAGGACCAGCTGAAGGCCGACATGCCTCGTACTTCCCCTTGGGCTGCTGCTCCACTTGCCCGCTCCTGCAGGAGGCAGGGCTGTCCAGTCACAGGCCGCTGGGGGCACCGGGAACGGGCCTGTCTGCATGTGCTCCCCAGGGAACCTCCTGGTCATCCTAAGCGCTCCCCAGGTCTCCACAGGGAACCTCCTGGTCATCCTCAGCCGTCACTACCAGGACGTGGTGTGCCTGCGGTTCACGGGCGATGGCAGTCACTTTGTCTCGGGGGGCAAGGACTGCCTGGCACTGGCCTGGAGCCTCTGCAGGTAGTGACCTGTCCTCGGGTGACATTTTGGGTGGTCCGGGACCCTCACTGGGCAAGGCCGTCAGAGAAGTGCAGAGAGCTTATCCTGCTGTGACGGGTGGCAGGGGGCGGGGCAGGTAGGCACAAGGGAGCCTGTTTTGTTTGGGGACTGTGGAGGACCATCGGGGAGCCAGATGCAGGGGAGGGGCTGGGTCGGGAGGCAGGACTGAGCGCCCACTCCCCGTCCCCAGCGTGCTGCAGGCGGACCCCGCCAGGATCCCCGCCCCACGACACGTCTGGTCACACCACACCCTACCTGTCACAGATGTGCACTGTGGCCTTGGGGGACCCCTGGCCCGGGTGGCTACAGCATCGCTGGACCAGACGGTGAAGGTGGGGCCTCCCACGCCTCCCTTCCCTGCTGCCGGGCCCAGACAGCTCCTAATCCCTGCCCTGAGCTGGCCCGAGAAGCAGATGATGAACTTCTGGGCAGGGCCAGCCTTCTGGCAACATTGTGGGGGGGAACCCGGCCTGGCTCAGCAACACACTGATGACCCCAGGACCCACTGGGACCTCCAGCTCTGGGTCTGGGAGCTCCCGCTCCTCCAGCCCTGGGAGCCCTCCTGACCCACCCCGCCACCAGCCCTGGGAGCCCTCCTGACCCCAGCCCCGCCACCAGCCCTGGGAGCCCTCCTGACCCACCCCGCCCCCAGCCCTGGGAGCCCTCCTGACCCCAGCCCCGCCCCCAGCTCTGGGAGCTCTCCTCAGGCGAGCTGCTGCTGTCAGTTCTGTTCGATGTGGCCATTGTGGCCGTGTCCCTGGACCTGGCTGAGCACCACATATTCTGTGGAGGCAGTGACGGCTCCATCTTCCAGGTGGACCTGTGCTCCTGGGTGAGTGAGTGCGGGCAGGCGGGCAGTGGTCACGCCCCACTCTCAGGACCCCCTGAGCTTCTGCCCAGCCCTGCACTCACCATGGTTTCGGCCCCACAGCCCGGGCAGAGAGAGAAGAACTTTCAGCCGGAGCAGGAGAGTGGGAAGGTCTTCCGAGGGCACAGGTGGGCAGGGGCTCGGGCGAGAACTGGGGGGCTCTCAGGCTTAGTGGCTCGGGCAGGGAGTCGGGGTTCGGGGGCTCTGAGGTGTGACCATCTACCCCCATCCTCTCCCTTTGAGGGGCACCAGCTGTTCTCTCTCAGGCCTGCACTGGGCGGCCACCCCCAATACCTGTCTGTCCTCAGGAACCAGGTGACATGTCTGTCTGTGTCCACTGACGGCAGCCTGTTGCTCTCGGGCTCCCACGATGAGACCGTGCGGCTGTGGGACGTGCATAGCAAGCAATGTATACGCACCGTGACCCTCAAAGGTGGGGGCCCGGGGCACAGTGTGGGCACTGTGACCCTCAGAGGTGGGGACCAGGGGACAGTGCGGGCACCGAGACCCTCAGAGGTGGGGACCGGGGGGACAGTGCGGGCACCGTGACCCTCAGAGGTGGGGCCCGGGGACAGTGCGGGCACCGTGAGCCTCAGGTGGCCCCTGGCCCTGGCCGTCTTCATGTGCTCCTGTGAGCAGGCAGATGAGCACAGGCCGCACATTGCCAGAGCAGGCAGCACAGGCTGCTGCCTTCACACGAAGGTCCCAGCCACCCAGGCACGGTGTCCAGGCCCAGGGCACAGCAGGCTCGAAGGCTGGTGGCATGGGGCAGAGCTGGGCTGCCCCCCACATGCGCACTCTGCCCCACGCAGGCCCTGTGACCAACGCCTTCATCATGCTGGCTCCCGTGAACATGCTGAGCTCCGACCTCAGGCCCAGCCTGCCGCTGCCGCACTTCAACAAGCACCTGCTGGGGGCTGAGCACGGTGACCAGCCGCACCCAGGGAGCCTCACCCTACGCTTGGGCCTCCACCGGCAGGTGTGTCCCACCCCTGCCAGCCCAGTACCACAGGTGGTGTGGTGTGCCCTGTGAGGGTCAGATGACCCTGGCACGCCCGCCAGTCTGCTGAGGATGGACTGACTTCCAGAACGTGCCACACCCCAGGAGCAGGGCTCCCAGGGAGCTTGAAGGGCTGCAGGGGAGGCATGAGGTCCAATACCCTAGGGGTCCCTCACTCGGCTGCCCTCCTCAATGGTCTCTTGGGACTGAGCTCCTAGAGGTGTAGGTCCAGATTTGAAGGGATGGGGAACAGGTCTTTCATGCAAGGCTGCTGGGCATGAGGCTGCTTCTTGGGGGGAGCAGAGGACAGGCAGGTGTTCCGGCGTCCGCCATGGTCACTGGAGCCTCTGTTGCAGGGTTCAGAGCCAAGCTACTTGGAGCGGGCGGAGCAGCTGCAGTCCGTCATGTGCAGCACCATGGAGAAGGTGGGCGAGGCCTGACTGGGGGGGTGCCTCTGGGACCCGAGAGTGTGGGGCCAACTAGGGGCTTGGGAGGAGATAACCACCAGTCCCTGCCTCCTGCTGTACCCAGTGACACTGTCCCTGCAGCGATGGGGGGAGGCAGCGGGCGTGGCAGGACATGGAGGTGGGGGGGTGGAGCCTCTCCAGCCTCTAACGTCCCGTCCTCGCGTGCCCCCAGAGTGTCCTGGGCGGCCAGGACCAGCTGCGCATCCGCGTGACGGAGCTGGAGGACGAGGTGCGCAATCTGCGCAAGATCAACCGCGACCTTTTCGACTTCTCTACACGCATCATCACCAGGCCGGCCAAGTGAGCCCGGTGCCGCAGCGCCAGCCACCTGCCGAGTGCACCCTCTCTGCTGTGTGTCTCGTTACTGCCTTCACTCGGGACGCAGAGCTGGGTCACCTCAGCGTTGTTCATTGACGTGTCATTACGTTTTCCTGTTGGTGCTCTTCCAGTTTTTAAAAAACGCGCAAAATGCCTCTGCTTGTTGGTCTCCATGTGGTCACATCTCCTGGAGCCAGCACACAAGTGCCCAGGCATGAAGGAAGAACCACACGGGGTCAGTTGTCTTTGTCCCAGGGACAAGGTTGCGCCAGAAGTTGGAGCTGCCAAACCAGCCTGGTCTGGAGAGGGTCCCCAAACACCCCCTGCCCCTCCTCGGACCCCATTTGAGACCCTGGGCAATGCCTGCTCCTTCTCAAACCAGGCCAGGTACTGCCCTGCCAACTTCAGTTACCCCACCCCCAAGGCCCTCCATCCACCCAGCCAGAGAGGTGCAGGCAGGGAAGAGGCTGTACCTGTCACCCCTGAATCTAGAGTGGCCAGGGTGACGGCACAGCCTCAGGATGGAGGTGGGGACAGTCGAGAGCATGGGTCCCCTCCCTGGGGTATCCTCCGAGGGGCCACCAATCCTGGATCGGCACATGTGGCTTGGGGCTGAAGTCCCCCAAGAGGGCTTAGCTGTGTAGCCAGATTTGTGCAACGTCCAGGGCCCCCATTGCCCCAGGGACACAGCCAGTCACCACCCGCTGCCAGGTGCATGGGCCCCAGGGCCGCCAGTGGAACTTTCCAGAAGGCTGTCCTCCACTGACAGCCCTGCTTAATGATCCAGGAAATCCTTGTGATTTAACAGGGCCCTGACGGCTGCCAGCGCTGAGTTCATGATTTTGGCTGGCACGTCCCCCCCTTCCGGGGCTCTTTGCCCTCTTGGCTGGCTGCCCCATGTCTGCGTCGGGACGCTTGGCCTCAGGCACAAGTACTGTGTCACCCCCACTCTCTCCGACCCTCAGCCAGGGAGCTGAGGCAAGGCGTCACCTGGGGTGACCTTCCTGTGGGATGGGGGATCTCCTGATGGCCACTAGTGGTCTTCATTTTTAAATGGCCCAGTAATGTGCACACACATAGGTGCCATCAGACCCCTAGAGGGGAGACGGAGGGCCCCTCCAGGGCACGCAGAGGGCAGAGGGCTGTGGGTGTTCCCCCTGATGGGACCAGCCTTCTCTGGGAGTTGAGAGCTGCGAGGATCCCCGAGGGCCAGGTCCACACCAACACCCCTAGTGGCCCTCCTCTCAGGTGGTCTGCCTTGGGGCTGAGGCAGGGCAGGAGAACATTCCACCAACCGCCGGCCATGCCCACACCACCACGGGTCTCCATAACTAAAGGTCACTTGTGGGGGAGAGATGGCTCTTGGGCATGGCTGGGAAGCAGTCCCCATGGCCCCTGCGTGTGTCTGCTCAGGTACCAGAGGGAGCCGGGCTGCTCGCCAGAAGCTAGGGCTCTTGGCCTGTGTCCAGGAGGAGGCACATGGCTGTCTCGCTGCTGGCGGCCACTTTCCTGAGTCCTGGGGGGACTCACGCCCTGTCCCTACTCCTACCATCGAGGCCCCCAGCACTGCTCTGGACCCCAGCAGCCCTGCGTCAGTGGTTAGGGGTGAGGGTATAGTGTCACCCCTGGACAGGTGTGAGGTCCCGGGGAGCCCCTGGCTGGGCACCCCCGCTGACCTGCCAGCAGACAGACTGCACGCCTGGCTGCAGGTACCGGGCTCCTGTCCACGTGGGTCGTTCATTCGTATGCCAAGGGCTTGCGCCCGGCCGCATCTGTCCCTGGATGCAAAGGTCGTTGGGCCCTCTGCAGGCTCAGACACAGCCAAGGCAGGTGGCGGACCAAGGGCTGAGATGGGACGGCAGGGCGCCCGAGACCACCAGCGTTTTACAGCCTGAGGGAGACGAGGGGCGGAGCCTGCTACCCACCGCCTCCCAGGCCTAGACTGCAACGTGACCTGGCAAGCCCCGCCCCGCTCGGAGACTTCGGTTACATCTTTAAAATGGGGGCGCTTCTCCCCTCTTTGGGAGTCTGTTCAGGGCAGGGAGGCGCAGCAGGTGTTACAGCTCGTGGGACACTGGGCTTCCGGGGACGGCTGCCAAGCTCCCCGGTGGGGACGGAGTGCTGCCATCGTCCTGGACGGGGATGGAGCGGCCAGGAAGCACCGAGGGACTTGTGCTTTGTTTAGTGAAGTGCCCATGTTTCACTACATCAAAGTTGTGGTGAGACCCATTTAAAATTGTTCACCACAGATTAGTAAGCACAAATACGCCTGTGCTTACTTTGCTTATAGGAGCGCTGGTGGCGAGTGCCTAAGGCACTGCTAACCGGAAGTCTGGGTGTCCACCAGCCACTCCGTGGAAAGAGGAGTGGGCAATCTACTTCCGTAGCGATACCACCTCAGAAACCCAAGGAGGGGTCGTGGCTGCGAGTCAGATCCGAGTCGGTGGCAGGGAGTTTGGTTTTTTGGTTTGGTACCTTGCTTACTGGAAAATACGCCTCTTGGGGGATGCCCCCTCCCCAGGACCAGTCCCCTGTCTCTGAGGAACCCCCTGCTCCATCAGTGAGAAGTTCACCCCAGGGGGACAAGTCTGGGGCGGGCAGACCCAGGGACCCTTTATGACTCAGGACCAGGCTGGGGGGTGGCCTGGTGTGGGGCTCCCTTGAAGGTGGGAGGGATCCCAGCATGACGGTTGGCAGCATCAAGTGTCTGGGCTGGTTTCTGGGGGAGGAGTTCAGAATTGTGGTCCCTGCGTGTCCTGTCTCTGGGATATCTGGCCAGGTGGCTGAAGGAGGTGGCCCCTTGTCGCTTGGAACTGAGCCCCTTGGGCCTGGGCCTCGGTGCAGTGGTCTCCTAACTCAGTGCACTCTGCGGGCTGGTACTTAGTGTCTGTGTCTCTCTAATGGATTGTTTTTCCCTTTAAAATTGGCTCCAGAGAGAGGGATGTGTGTGTGTGGAAAACTCAGCCAAGCAGAGAGTCATTCCTCAGGACTGGAATGTTCTGTGCCCACCGTGAGATCCTGGGAGGCTCCCAACACCTTCAGAGCCTGGCTTGCTCTTCCCCCGCCTGGAGGGACAGGAAGAGTTTCGTGTCAAGGTGCTGCCTGTGGGGGTGGGGGGCAGCAGGTACCTCCTCCACCCTTGCCCTGATGCAACCCGTGTATCTGAGTGCCTGGTAGCTGCCAGGGCGGCAGGAAGGACCCGCAGTCATTTAGCACAGGCTCAGAGCACTCAAGGGCAGACGTCTTAGTTGTCCATAACTGCTGTAACAGGCCACAAGAGGGTGGCTTTAACAACAGAAGCTATTCTCTTCTCAGTCGGGGGGCTGGAAGGCCAAGCACAGGACGCCAGCTCCAGCGCAAGGCTTTCTTCACTCTGTCGGGTTCCCGGAGGAAGGCCCTCATCTCTTGAGCTTCTGCTTTGTGATTCCTTGGACATCGGTCTCCGTGTGTCTTGGCCCTCTCTCCCCCCCTCGCTTGCTTGATCTCTGTAATATTTCTCAGTGAGCAAGGTGAGCACAGGCTTATGTGTGCTTACTAATCCGTAGTGAACAGTTTGAAATGGGTCTGGCCACATCTCGGATGCAGTGAAAACATGGACTGTTGACTGAAGAGAAGTGAGAGAGCACAAAGGGGAGAGCCCCAAACATGGCCTGTACTCATCCTCGTTGACATAACAGATAACCCATCGCCACTGGGAGGAGCCCTCTAGTCGACCCCAGTCCACAGAACGACACACTGTGGGTCCTGGCCATCGTCAGCATAGTCGCTCTGTTCGACCCATCATTGCAGCGCTGTGTCAGTCCGTCTCAGTGACAGTCTTCCTCTTTCATATTGACCATCGACCAACCATAATGTGCTTCTCCAGGGACTGGTCCCTCTGTTACTCACTGTTGTCAAGTTGGATCTGGCTTGCAGCGACCCCTCCCTGGGTTTCCGAGGCGGTATCACCACAGAAGTAGATTGCCCCATCTTCCTTCCGAGGAGTGGCTGGTGGGTTTGAACCGCTAGCCTTCTGGTTAGCAGTCACGTGCCCACTCACTGCGCCACCTGGTCCCTCTATTAGACATATCTAAAGTACGTGAGACAAGGTCTGGCCACAGACATACAGGCTAGAATTTATAATATGTATGCTTGTGGGGTATAACTCAATCCATCCCAGAAGAGCTGGGGATTGGTGGACAGCAGGGAGCTAGGAAGGTTCTGGAGCAGAGGAAGGTGCCATGACCATGCATCCTTGTCTGAACAGGGGCTCAAGCAGCAAACAGTCATAGAACACCTGCTGTGTGCACACACCAGTTTTCAGTAGTAAATAAGCCAGCCCCAGCCCCTCCCCTCCCAGAGCCTGGGGGAGAAGACAGACAGGAAACAAAGCAAATAAGGCAGAAAGAGAAGGTGATAATGTGTGATTAGATGGTGGAGACAAGGAGACCTTAAAGGAAATGGGGGAAATCTGCATCTTTCTTGGGGGGCGGTAATGGGCATTTGGCATTGGGTTTTGAAGGGTGAAGAGAAGTTCTCTGGTGCAAGCTGACCTACCCATGGCTGGAGGAAAAGAGTTCTACGGGACCTACCCTGCATGCCTGCCTTGGTTTCCCAGTAAGCACACTGTTGGAACAAGTTCAGATGGGTTGGTCTGGGGAGGGCCTACACCCTGGAATTGGGAAGTGGTGTAGTGCCTAAGACATTGGACTACTAACCATAAGGCTGGTGGTTCAAACCGACCAGCCACTCTGCAGAAGGCAGACTGGTATATCTACTTCCCTAAAGATTTACCGTCTTGGAAACCCAAAGGGGGTCGCTGTGAAGCAAAATTAACTAATGACAATGAGGTGGGTTGTTTTTTTTTTTTTGCTGGTGTGGCCTAGGGCAAATCCTGCCCCATCCTGGGCCTCTGTTTCCCTAAGCAATGAGTGACATTTCCAGGCGGGAAAGGGGTTCGGAATCCTAGGAAGGAGGAGGGTGTGGGTGTGCGCCAATATTGCTCCCAAATCCCCGCCCCCGAAATGAGCCTGGGTTTTCTCATCCGGAAAATGGGGAAATGGCTCCCCTGGCTCGGAGCAGGGATGGGTTAAGCCCTCCCCACACGCAGTCCGGGCCGGCGGCTGGAACCCGGAGCCGCCGGGGCGGCGCAGCTGGGCGGGGCCTCGCGGGGAGGGCTCGCCCGACAAGCCAGGGTCCCCGCGCCCGCACGGTGCTTGTCACCCGCGGCTCCGCCTCGCGCCGGATAACTTTGCCATGGAGTTTGTGCGGCGCGCGCTGTGGCTCGGCCTGGCGCTGGTGCTGAGGCCCGGTCCTGCCCACGGCCACCCTCAGCCGTGCGGCGAGCTGGTGGGCTCTGGGGGCTCGCTGCGCCTGGGCGCCTTCCTGCCCCGCGCGCCCGCCGCCCGCGCCCGCGCCCGTGCCGCCCTGGCCCGGGCCACCTTGTTGCTGCCGCAGCTGTCGCACAACCTGAGCCTGGAGTTGGTGGCCGCCGCGCCCCCAGCCCGCGACCCCGCCTCGCTGGCCCGCGGCCTGTGCCGAGCGCTGGCGGCGCCGGGAGTGGCGGCGTTGCTAGCCTTTCCCGAGGCGCGGCCGGAGCTGCTGCAGCTGCACTTCCTGGCGACAGCCACCGAGACCCCTGTGCTCAGCGTGCTGCGGCGGGACGCGCGCGCGCCCTTCGGCGCCCCGGTACGCGCGGGGCCGGCGGGGGGAGCCCGGGCGCGCGGGAGTTCGAAGGGGAGTCCCCGCTGCAGCCCTAAGGCGAATGCGGGAGTCCCCGGGGCGCGCGGGCCGTATCCTGGAGTTAGGATGCTCTTGCCCCCTGGACGGCCCTTTGGGGCACGGAACTCCCATGCACAGCCTTTCCCTGGGTCTTGAGGACAGAGAACGCCCCCCCGCCGCCCCTGCCTCTTCGACCCCAGGACACCCCGCCCCGCCCCTTCGCGCACAGCCTCCTCCGGGATCCAGACCTGGGCTCAGCGCTCGGAGCACCCGTCCCCGGGCGCCTCCTGGCTGGGAAGGGAGCGCTAGTCTCCCTCCTGCCGAGTTGTGCAGCCTTGCACCCAGGATCCTCCCAGAGGCCCCTAAGGAGAGATACCCCCGCCCCCTCAGCCTCCTGCGTGCCCTTGGGTCCCCAACCTGTCCTTCCAACCCCCTTCTCAGGCTTGGCGTTCTCTCTCCTGATCCACGCCCCCCATTCGGGAGGAATTGGGAGAAGGTGGGGGAAGGCAGCTTTGGCAGGGCTGCGGGGATCCCATTGTGTTTTCTTAGCAAAGACTCCCCAGGGGCTATAGGGAGGGACCTGGAAGGCTGGGAGGGGTTCCCAGACAAAGGGGAGGATGAGATTGGGGTGATCCTCAGCACCCCAGCTCAGAGGCACTCTGACCTTGGCCTTCCACCCTCCGAACCTCCCAATTCCAACTTGGGGTGCACACCTGCCTTCTCTTCCAGCACTGACCCTGGCGGAGGCCCAGGGGCTCCTTAACCTCTGGCCAGAGCCAGTGTCCGACCCCGGCCCTCTATGTGGCCTGGGCAGCTGGGAGAGAGTACAGAACTGGGCTCTGTCTCTCTCCGCTACGGCCTTCAGGAAGTGCGCCTCCGTCGGCCTGGGGAGGGCTGCTGAAGGGGCCCTGGGGCTGGCTCTGGGGCTGTGGCCGCTGCACTGTCCTGAGCCGGCAGGCTCTTTGCTCGCCTCCCACCCACAGCCCGGCTTGCCCTCCCCTCCCAGGCAACATCCTGACCCCATAAGTGCTGAGAAAGTGCTGTTCCCTGACATGGCAAGGGCAGATCCAGGAGAACTTTCTGGATGCCAGCAGGCCCTGCAGGCCCACTCAGCCAAGGCCCTTGGCTTACCCAGCACAGGGACAGCTGCATGTGAGGAGGGTCTCAAGAGGGAGCAGGCAGGTGTGGCTCCCAGCACAAGGGCCTCAGCCAGGTTGTTCACAGGGGTTGTCGGCCCTGGGCTGCCCCTGAGGGGCTCCCAGGTGGGTGGGGTGGGGGTAAGGTCAGGATGGGAATGGAGGAAGGGACCTGGGGCTGAGGGAATCCTAGAAAGGGAGCCAGGGTTCTACCTGGGAGATGGGGGAGTCTGAATAGAGAAGGTGCGACCAGGGTGTTGAGAACCAAGAGGCAGAACCTGTCAGACTGAGGCCTGTGATGGAGGCAATGGGGAGCCACATAAGGCTTTAGACCGGGGGTGGGCAAGGTCCCTTGTGAAACTGACATTTATTTACTGAGCACTTCCTGACGGGCAGGAGCTCTGGTGACATGTAGTGCCTAAGGCATTTGACTGCTAACCAGAAGGCTGGTGGTTCAAACCCACCAGCCAGCCACTCCTCAGAAGGAAGATTGGGCAATCTACTTCCATAGTGATACCACCTTGGAAACCCAAGGAGGGGTTGCTATGAGTCGGGATTGACTCAATGGCAGTGCGTTTCTGATGGGTGGGCCAGGGCCTGTGTGGCGAGACCCTCACTGTGCCTGTCCCCTCCCCAGAGCCCCTTCCACCTGCAGCTAGACTGGGCCAGCCCCCTGGAGACACTGCTGGACGTGCTGGTGTCCGTGGTGCAGGCCCACGCCTGGGAGGACATCGGCCTGGTGCTCTGCCGCGTTCGGGACCCCAGTGGCCTGCTGGCCCTCTGGACACGCAGGGCCGGTCGGGCCCCCAAGCTCTTGCTGGACCTGAGCCGGCCAGACGCTGATGACGCAGGGCTCCAAGTACGCCTGGCCCCTCTAGGGGCGCTGGCGGGGGCCGAGGCCCCAGTGCCCGCAGCTGTGCTCCTGGGTTGCAACGCTGCCCACGCCCAGCAGGTGCTGGCGGCCGTGCCCCCAGGGCCCCGATGGCTACTGGGCACACCGCTGCCTGCCCGGGCACTGCCCACCGAGGGCCTGCCACCCGGGCTACTGGCAGTGGGTGAGGTGGCCCGGCCCCCACTGGAAGCCGTCATCCAGGATGCTGTGGAGCTGGTGGCGCGGGCATCGGGCAGAGCAGCCCACTTGCAGCCAGAGCGTGCCCTCCTCCCCAGAATAGTCAGCTGCACTGAGCTGCGGCCAGCCGGACCTGAGTCCTTGGGCCGCCTCCTGGCACGGTGAGTGGGGACCTTGCTGCGTCTGTCCAGGCCCACCCAGTGGGTGACCTTTGGCCCGCGGGTCACCAGCATTACTGGGTGCTAGCTGTATGCCAGGCTCTGGGTTGAGTGCTTTCAAGTGGGCGGTTTTGTCCCCATCTAGGTGGGGGTTCAGAAACGGAGCCTGAGGATTCACTGACGGGCTTCACTGGGGGGCTTTGGGGAAAGGGAAGTGAGGTGCAGAGGGAAGGAGCTGAGCCGGCCTCAGCCTGATCCCAGGGGAACCCTGGGCATGAACCGCACCCCGGAGTGAGCTCTGTCACGATCCCGGGGCCCCGGCATTCCTACCCCCGTATCTGTCAGTCACTGGCCTCCGGCCACCCCCTGGGGAGGGCGCTGTGACCTAGCAGCGGTGGGAGCACCTCTGCCACCTAGAGTAGGGAGCAGCCGCGAGCCACCTGCGGCCACGCCGCGGAGTGACCTGGGCCGGGAGCGGTGCCCCCACAGTCCGCCCCTGACACGGCTCAGACCACGGCTTCTCCACAGAGCTCATGCCCTCCACGCTGCTTCTCCGAGATCCCAGTGATGCTCTCCCGAGTAGAAGCTTCGGTCAGGGCCCGGGAGCAGGGCCCGGAGTAGGCGCCACGTGTGGGTTTATGGAGAGAACACATGGAGAAGACAGGGTAGTGGTGTGGGGTGGGTCTGGGGGCACAGCTGAGCCACCAGGAGCCCTGAGGCCTGATCAGCACCACAGGGGTGACAGCATGAGCCAGGGAGCTATAGCCACAGCATCTGGGCTGGTAGAGGGGACACAGAGGCCACCAAGTGTCCACTACTATCCCCATTGTCAGGACACGGACAAGGACGGCCAGGGAGATAAAGGCAGCTGGAGATGAGGGTCTGATCTTGGCTGGGGGGTCCCACTGCCTGCTACCTGACGCCCACCCTGCCCACCCCCGGCCCCCAGGTTCCTGGCCAACACCTCCTTCCAGGGCCGCACAGGGCCAGTCTGGGTGACAAGCACGTCCCAGGTGCACATCTCTCGACACTTCAAGGTGTGGGGCCTCCGCCAGGACCCACTGGGCACCCCGGCCTGGGCCACAGTGGGCAGGTGGTACGACGGGAGGCTGGAGCTAGAGCCAGGGGGCACTGCTGCGAGGCCCCTGCACCCGCCGCGCACCCAGGCCCGGCCCCGGCTGCGCGTGGTGACGCTGGTGGAGCACCCGTTTGTGTTCACCCGTGAGTCAGACGAGGATGGCCAGTGCCCGGCGGGCCAGCTCTGCCTGGAGCCCGGCACCAATGACTCGGCCACGCTGGACGCACTGTTCGCCGCGCTGGCCAACGGCTCGGTGCCCCGTGCCCTGCGGAAGTGCTGCTACGGGTACTGTATCGACCTGCTGGAGCAGCTGGCGGAGGACGCATCCTTCGACTTCCAGCTGTATATTGTGGGTGACGGCAAGTATGGCGCCCTGCGCGACGGCCGCTGGACAGGGCTGGTGGGTGACCTGCTGGCCGGCACGGCCCACATGGCGGTCACCAGCTTCAGCATCAACTCGGCCCGCTCCCGCGTGGTGGACTTCACCAGCCCCTTCTTCTCCACCAGCCTGGGCATCCTGGTGCGCACGCGCGACACCGCCTCGCCCATCGGCGCCTTTACGTGGCCCATGCACTGGACCATGTGGGTGGGCGTGTTCGCGGCGCTGCACCTCACCGCGCTCTTCCTCACGCTGTATGAGTGGCGCAGCCCCTACGGCCTCACGCCCCGCGGCCGCAACCGCAGCACGGTCTTCTCCTACTCCTCAGCCCTCAACCTCTGCTACGCCATCCTCTTTGGGCGGACCGTGTCCAGCAAGACCCCCAAGTGCCCCACCGGACGCTTCCTCATGAACTTGTGGGCCATTTTCTGCCTGCTGGTGCTATCCAGCTACACGGCCAACCTGGCTGCTGTCATGGTCGGGGACAAGACCTTCGAGGAGCTGTCGGGGATCCACGACCCCAAGGTGGGGCACCATGTGGTGAGGGGGGGCCTGGGTCTCAGAGCTGGGAGCATGGACACCCACCCTCACCCACCCCATCCCGAACCAGGAACCCCTGCCGCACCAGCTGTTCACTCCTGCAATACTGAGCATCTGCGGTGTACAAGGGGCCCTGGTGGTGGAGCCCCGTCAATCTTCAGGAAGCAAAGCCCAAACCAAACCCCCCACAGTGGAGTCAGTTCCGACTCACGACGCCTCTAGAGGACAAAGTGGAAATTTCCCATAGGGTTTCCAAGGCTGGTGGCATAGTGCCAAAGGCATGTGACTGCTAACCAGAAGGCTGGCAGTTCAAACCCAGCAGCCACTGCTCATAAGGAAAGTTGAACAATCTACTTCTGTAGTGGTACTGCCTTGGCAACCCAAGGAGGGGTTGGTTACCAAAAGGTCAGCAGTTTGAAGCCACTAGTGGCTCTGAAGGAGCTAGGACCTGGTGGTCTGTTTTCATAAAGATTACAAAAACCAAGCAAACTCACTGCCGTGGAGTCGGACACGACTCACAGTGACCCCTCCTTGGGTTTCCGAGGTGGTATCACTATGGAAGTAGATTGCCCAACCTTCCTTCTGAGTAGTGGCTGGTGGGTTTGAACTGCCAGCCTTCTGGTTAGCAGTCAAGTGCCTTAGGCACTATGCCACCAGCCTTGGAAACCCTATGGGAAAGTTCCACTTTGTCCTCTAGGGGCGCTGTGACTCAGAACTGACTCCACTGTGGGGGCTTTGCTTCTGTGAAGATTGACAGCCTTGGAGACCCTGTGGAGCAGTTCCACTCTCTCACATGGGTTTGCTGAGTCAGAATTGACTTAATGGGAACAGGTTTGGTTTGGTTTAGTGTGTGCCAGGCACTGGGGACCCAGCAGGGACAAAGCAGGCAAAGATCCTTGCCCCTGAGGATTTGAGGAGAATCAAGGTAAATGAGCAAACGGTCTAGTGTGGGAGGTGATGAAATGCTAGAGAGACACAAGGAAGGGGGGGGGGATGTTTTCCCAAGGGGCAGAGCTCAGGGGAGCCCTCTGCTAGGGGGCGACACTCGAGGGAGTTTTAGATGGACATAAGGAAGAGTGCTGTAGGGGAAGGGAACAGCACGTGTAAGGACCCTGGGGGACCCTACCGTGGGGTTGGAGGCGCCATGTGGCTGGAGCCAGGGGGAAAGGAGGGAGAGAGGAGGAGGGGAAGCGCAGGGAGGTGAGACGAGTTATGCATGGCCCTATGGGAGGGGAGGTCACAGGCTGGTACCCCAGGGAGGTGGGACCCCAGAGAAACTCAGTGCTCAATGGCGCCCTCTAGTGGCCACAGGGAGGCCTGCCTGTCAGCAGCAGCAGAGCAGGGACTGGCCCTGGTCTTTCTTTTTTTTCTTTCAATGACAATTTTGGAACACTCCAGAGTAGGGCGCCATGGATCGCCCTGAACTCATCTCAGCTCCAGAATCGGCTCCTAGCCAGTTTGTGTTCACAGTTTCCCCCTCCCCCCAACCGTGGGATTATTTTGAAGCCAATCCCAGACTTGGTGTCATTTCACTGTAAATATTTCAGGAACCTGCACAACTCGGGCCACATTTTCCCGCACTCATATTCCCCCCTCCCCCCGAGTTTGTCGACTGCAGACATTGCATGTGGTTGAAATCTCATGTCCTTTTAACTTCTAGAATCCTTTTTATTGACTTCTCTATTTTCACGTTACATGTGTTTGCTGACGACATCAAGTTGTCTGTCATGCAGTCAGTCCCACCATTTGGAGCTGGCTGGTTGAGTCCTTGAGGGGGGGTTTATCTACCATCTCCTGTGTTCCCTTCCACACTGCTAATAAAATCAAGACACTGTGTTGTCTGACATGGTGGCGACTTAACACAGACCCACGGTTGCTATTAAGCCATTAATAGCCACGTGTGGCTGGCGGCTGCCAGACTGGGCAGTGCAGAGGACACCGTTCTGGCCCTCCTGGTTAGCACAGCTCCAGGGGTCCTCTAGGTAGTGCCCAGGCCTCCTGCGTCTGGGTGTGTGCCGAGGTCAGCAGAGACCAAACTCATCCATTCACCAGGGGCTTACACAGTGCCCCCCTGCCCGCTGCAGAGAGCAGGGTACCAGGGCAGAGCTGGGCCAGGGGACGATAGGGCAGGCGGTGAGGGGCCCACATGGATGTGTTCTGAAGACAGAGCCCACACTGGGTTTTCTGAGAGACAGGACATG